GAACATCACATCCAAGAAGCTTAACGAGGTACAGTACAAATTATACTCTTGAATAACCAATAAATCTTATAATTTATGAGATAAACAAACTAATAGGTTTTCTTTACTTTAGCTCAAGATATATTATGATCTTTCTTCAAAACTTAAAGTCAAAAATGGTTATTATGTTAGCAAATATTTTGGAATTACTCAAGATCCTAATTCTAAAGATATCATGTTTATCATGCCATATTATAATTCAGGTGATTTGATACGTTACATCACTAAAGATTTTTATAATATTAGCTGGAAAACAAAGCTATTGAAATTAAGAAATATAGCAAATGGAATTGTTCAAATACACAATGTAAATATTGTCCACAGGGATTTTCACAGTGGAAATATCTTTCTTAATGAGTATGCTAATTATGATAGTTTTACTAATAATGTAACAATAGGTGATCTTGGTATAAGTAAATCTGCAACTGAATCTGGAGATGATAATGAAAATTATGGTATTATTCCTTATATGGCTCCAGAGATTTTTCAAAGACAAAAATATGATAAACCTTCCGATATATACAGTATAGTTTTAGAATGATTATGTGGGAGTTAATGACAGGTAGAAGACTTTTTTGGGATCGAAATCATGATACAGAACTTATTATTGATATTTGGGATGGTTTACGACCACCAATTGTAACAAATGCACCTGAAGGTTATATTGAATTAATGAAAGAATGTTGGCATTCTGTTCCAGATAAAAGACCAACAGCTACTATTATAAGAGAAAGAATTGATGAAATTAGTATAAAGGAAATTGAAAATCGCAGAAATAATAATCCAACTGAAGTAATAAAATCGTCAAATATTGGACCTGTAATAATAAATAATCCAGGTGCTATTTATAAGAGTAGGCCTATAAGTGGCATGATTAATTCTGCAATGTCTTTATGGTGTTCAAGAAGTCAATCTATTAATTTAGAAAAAGTCAAAAGAAGGTTTGAGGATGATTTAGTCGAAGATATTAATAATGATGGTATGATATTTGACAATTGAAAAAAAAATTAAATTGAAAATCAATATTTATTAATTTTTTTTTTTAAAAAATACATTTAGGTCAAAATACTAAACGTAAAAAGTTATATGAAAATAAAGGTAATTACTTTATTTCAACAATATATTATTTTTCATAATTCTGATTTCATAATAATATCATAATTATATTTTTTAGATTACATTACAAAAGAAAACGAATTAGATATTGATACGAATTTTAATAATGGTATGCAAATATACTTTTTATATATGAATGTTAACTTTTAGTTTATATTAATAAACCTAATTTCTTTAACTTAAATTTAGAATATATTACCGAAGAAATTGAATTTGATATTAATATCTAAATTATCAAAATCTTTTATTTTTATAAAAACTATTTAACTAGAAAATAAAACTTATAAAAATGTATCGTAAAAATGTATTAATGAAAATTTTTGACGATTATTGAATTTCTGCCAGTTCAAACAAAAGTTTTACTTTTTACTTAAATTATAGAGCTAAACAAATGTTAAGTTAACAAATTTTTTATTTATATTTTAATAGGTTTAAGTTTATTGAATAAACTAAACATTTCACATAATTTATACTTTAATAGTATTATATATATTTAAAATTTTTAAATGGTCATAACTACGTATTACGTATAGTCACGCTAAGATAATTTGAAGTATTAGGACAAGCTTTATTAAGTCTTTTAGAATCATTTAAATTGAATCACAGGAATACGTAGGTATTAAATTTTAAAATTATACTTTTTCGTTCGAATTTAATCAGTTAATTCTATTGACTATCAGTGTTTCTCACTGTATGATACGCGTTATAAATAGGGATAGAATCGGTTTAAAATGAATCGACTCGATTCTAGAACCGAGCCTAAATTTATTCTGGATCTCCTGGGTTTAAACCTACTTTTAGCCATAAAACCGTTCCGAATTGGAGCCGATGTGGAACCGAATTAGAACCGACGAACCGATTTTATGTTGAACATGTGCAAAATATTGAAAACCGAACACACAAAAAAAAAATTAAAAACGTTTTATTATAAAAGTTTCGTATGTGAGAAAAAATTGGGCTTAGAATTTTGCGTCAAATGACCAACGAATGACGATTAAAACTGCGCCATATTACTTCATCGTCCGGTGGGACTAGAATCCTTTTCCAATAATTTTTTCGAACAAAATAAATATAGTGATCATTCGATTTCATGCATTTCATGCATAACAATATATAAAGTTCTTTTATTATATTTGATGCATCAAGATTTTATAGAAAATTAAAATTTCCATTAAAAACTTCTAGAAATTTTATGTGAAATTCGTAAAAGAACATTTTTTAACAATTATATTTTAATAAAGGCATCAATAAGAGTGGGTTTAAAAAAGACTTTATAATTATATTATTTTTAAATGATCTGTTAAGTATTATTTTTTTTTCCATAAAATGGACTATTTAATCGCATTTATTTAAGAATTCATGGGATTCGTACAAAATCCGAATGTCAAAATCCCGGATGGTACGAAATCCCGAAAAATCGACCAGCATTAAGCATAATGTTGGTCGGTTCTAAATTTTGACATTCGGGATTTGGTACCAGACCCGAATTCATATATTAATAATGATTTAATTAAACTGTCAAATAAATATTATGGCTAATACTAACTTTACATTACAGAATCTTTCTAAAAAATATGACGATGTAACCATGAGGTGTACCATCAACTATATTAATAAATTTTGATGATACTTTACATAAGTTTTTATTTTTGGAGATTTTTTTGACGATCATTTTAATTAATGTTTATCCAATATTTAAAAATTACAATACAAATTGACTTTATTTTTTTTTAGAAAGTATTTTTCAAATAGTTGATTCGCTTCTACAAATCTCTGCATCAAATACTAGGCACAGCGTGAAATTCCCAAACTAGGGATGGTCCCAGTTCAGTTAACCAGTGGTTCAAACTGAGTCACTTAGTTCATGGTTTAGTTCGTTCACACCTTGAACCGAACCAGGTAAATACAGTTCAGGTTCGATCAACTCAACTCGGTTTGAACCAAACTGAACTGAATTAAATCATTTTAATTGATTGAACGAATTTATTTGGTTTGTTGCTTCAAATTATCTAATTAAATAATTTAAATTATATATAAATCATAAATTATTCGCTTGATAAATACATTACAATCATCACAATTAAAACACAAAATAAAGCGACGTAAAGTTATAAATTCGGTTTTTATATCACAATTTGCCTTTTTTGACCCGTCCGCCCGGATTTTTTATTTTAAAATTCAAAAATTTTTAATCAATAAAATTTATCTATCCGATCAATAATTTTCATATGTTAACAGTTTTAGGTTAAATGAAATGATATTAAATTTTTGGCGTGGAAAATCAATTGTAAAATATTTAATAAAATAAATAAATAAAATTGCTAATCTTTTTTTTTTTTCATTTTATTAGAATGAGAAATTTTCTTTAAAGTAATGTCTGTCTCAATTTATGATATTGATTTCTGTAAAACATGCAGTTATCACATGATATTATAAAATATAAACTATTTTATTATCTTACAAAGGTTCAGTTCAGAACTGAACTAAACTATTTCCAGTTTAACCACTTAACATAAATTTAATAGTATTTTTTAAAAGTTAAATATAAATGAAAAGAAACAGTGAAAATTTATCTGAATTAATATAAAAATAATAAACTTAAACTTATAATATTTATTAAGACGACACAAAGTTATAAATTCGGATTTCATATCCCGGCCGGGTCGGTAGATCACAAATTCACAATTTTTATATTTTTTTTTTTTATATTAACTTGAACCATAGTTCAGTTATGGATTGAACTGAACCGGACCGTTTCAGTTCAGTTCGAACCGTGATCGTCCATAGATCAGACTAATCCAATCTTATAATCAGCTGATGATATGCAGATATGCAGTATCACGTAGGACTATGGAATTCTTTGCATATTATATATAGAATTCCAACAAACATTTTTGGAAAGTTGTATGCTTATTAAAGTCTTTAGAAATTGTTTATATAATTCGAAAAAAAAATTCCCTTTTTAACAATTTAATATAAAAACGTATATATTATTGTTATACAACAGTATTCCTTGACTTTAAGTACATAATCCTTTTTTTTTAAAAAAGAAAGAATGAATCAGTCAACAAATTATAAACATAAAATTGAATTTTTATTATCAAACAGTATGTCTTTAGTTCAACCAGCACAAACTGTTGAACCAAATTTCGTAATAAAGAATTGTGTCGAATGTAATAAAAGGAGAAAAGTTTTGGATAGTCATCAGGTGTGCCTTGTTTGTAACAAAATAAGGATGGTATACAATCATGGTCCAAGTGGAAACAAATTTATTGATGACTTTATCAATTATACACAAATTAATGTTATTACTAAAAATGGGAAGTTGGAATTTGTTCCTTTTGAACAATTCATTAAAATAGAATTTATTGCTGAAGGAGGTTTTAGTACAATTTATAAAGCTACTTGGATTGACGGCCCAGTTACTAATTATAAACGTAAAAGAGGAGATTATCGTGTCCCAAATTATACAGTTGTCTTAAAAAAAATTAATGATTCTAGAAACATCACATCTGGGGAGTTGAATGAGGTACAGTACATACTACATACAAGCAGTGCTACCCGTTATAACATCATTTTATTTTTAATTCCTTTGATGCCATTATATAAAAACATAATAAATCTCATTATAACGACAATTAGAAAAATTTACTAATGACCCAAAGAGTATTATTATAACGGGCGGCACTTTTAGTATCTTACCATTTATAAGATAATAAATTAATATGCTTTCTTCATTTTAGATCAAGATATTTTATGAATCATCCTCAAAATATAGATGCAATCATTATAATTATGTTGGCAATTATTTTGGAATTACTCGAGACCCTAATTCTCAAGATATCATGATTATTATGCCATATTATGATTCAGGTGATTTGATACATTATATCACTAAAGATTTTTATAATATTAGCTGGGAAACAAAGTTAGAAAGATTAGGTGGTATAGCATATGGACTTGCTCAAATACATAAGTTAAATATTATCCACAGGGATTTTCATAGCGGAAATATCCTTTTCAATAGAGAAAATGATGGGCAATTTGTTAATATTACAACAATAGGAGATCTTGGTATAAATAAATCTGCATTTGAATCTGGAAATGATAATGAAAGTTATGGTATTATTCCTTATATGGCACCAGAAATTTTTCAAAGACAAAAATATGATAAATCTTCAGATATATATAGTTTCGGAATGATTATGTGGGAGTTAATGACATGTAGAAGACCTTTTTGGGATCGAAATCATGATACAAAGCTTATCATTGATATTTGTGATGGTTTACGACCACCAATTGTCACAAATGCACCCGAAGGTTATATTGAGTTAATGAAAGAATGCTGGTATACTGATCCAAATAAAAGACCGACAGCTGATGATATACATAAAAGAGTTGGAAGTATTCGAATTCATAATCATAAAAATGGAATACAAACTAGAATTATAAGATCATCAGATATTGGACCTATAGCATTAAATTATCCAGGTGCTATTTATAAAAGCAGACCTTTAAGTGCCATGATTAATACTGCAATGTTTTTAAGGGATTTAAGAAGTCAACCTACTAATTTAGAAAAAGTCAAAAGATTTGAGGATGGTTTAATTGAAAGTCATAATGATAATAATGATGACGGTATGATAGTATTTGTCAATTGCAAATAAATTTAATAAATCTAATGCTTTTAATTGAAAATTATATATAGGTCAAAGTATTAAAAGAAAAAAGTTATATGAAGATGAAGGAGGTAATTAACTTTCAACAGCGTATCAATTTCATAATTTGACTTAATAAATCTTGTATATATCCTTTAGACTATATTAAAAGAGAAATTAGATATCGATACGAAGCTTAATAATGGTATGTAAATATACTTTTTATATATAAATTGTAACTTTTAATTTATCATATTATAAACCTAATTTCTTTAATTTAAATATAGAGGAAGTTGAATTCGATATTAACCTTTTAGCAAGATTATTATCACAGGTTGTGTACTGTAGGTAATGAATATTGTACGATGTTGTATTTATATTTGTTAACTAACGTCACGAAGTGGTATTAACCAATATAAATACCACCGTACAATATTTACATCATGGTATATTTATATTTCTGGTTTTTTTTTTGGTTTAAGGTATATATTACAAATATTTTCTTATCTTATTTAAGGAAACTGTATAAATTTATAGAAGTTCCAGTAGTTACAGTTTATCAATAGCAAATATGATTTGTACGTTTTTTTCAAACAATAAAATCTCGGAATTGATAATAATCTTTTGCAAAAAAGTTAAATAATTATAATTGATATTTAAATTTTTGTGAAATCATAGCTTTATTAATAATATTATTAATTATAAAATGTAATTGTCGTAATATAACTAATGAAATTATTTATATCCGATGCATCTTTATTTAAAGAATTTTATATTATTTTATATTCCATTATTGTTCAGCCCAATAAGATCATGCAGATTTTCATAGACCGATATTTTATTAGGCATGGCAATAATATATGATTGATATAATAAAGTGGAGTAAAAATATGGTGTAAATGAAATTTTTATAGGAAAAGTTTAAATAAAGTAGATCATGCTCAAATTAACTATCGATATTCGATATTGTACGCAAATAAACTATTAATATCAATATTGAATATCAATATTGATCACCTTTTAGATATCTTATTTAAAATATTATTTGCATAGAATGAATCATTTTTTATCATTTTGTTTCACTTAATATATTAAATTATAATTTTGGATACTTTATTCAACAAAATACGTAAGCAGTACTAGATATTATTTATCATCACGACGGAGCCGTGATGATAATGAAATCGATTTATAACAGAAAACACGAAAATATATAGAACTTATCAATTGATCTAGAGTGTTGTCTATTGATTTGTATCATTTTAGTCGAAAATTCTTGAAATAATTATGTACCATTTTTTTCAATTTGAATTAGATGAAATTACTTTAATGACAAGATCGAATTTATATAAACTGTAAAAATTTTGCAACATTGCATTGTCTTAACCTTTTTAATTCAAAGATCAATATAATGTACATTATATCGTACAATTCTACTCACAAGTAATACACGTATTTTTTTTACCTGAAGTAAAAATAAAATGATGAGCGAAGTGGTGAACACTTTCATAAAGGTTTTAACTTCTATCTTCTTTATAAACTAAACTAAGTAAACATAATAGGTTTGTCTATGTAAACTAGTAATTCATAAAACTTTAATTTGCTTGATTAATAATCATAATTGATTGATGACGCCATTTAATTTTTGGATTTTTGACCCCAGTATAAATTACTTGCTGAGTGTTTGAATTTGTGAATTTTCAATAATAAGACTTTTACTTGGCCTATAATTATAATTATAATAATAAAATTATAAAACCTTCGAATATCATTTAGATTGAGCTCATATTCTTTTATATATTCTAAAAATAAGTTAAATTATAAATTTGAAACATTAATTGAATTATCAAATAATAACTTAGATGGTTATTTGTTAATTATTTTTTAAGATGGAAAAATAATATTCATCAATTAATTAAAATATTATTTAATAAATACAATATTATGCCCTTGATTAAATGAATGGTGACAAATCATGCATTTATTACAAGAATTCTACCATGGTAAACGAAGATACGTTGTATAATGAGATTTTAATAAAGCCTAAATTTTAGAGCTTTAAACCGGATAACCATAATGCTGTTATGGAGTTATCCGTTTCAAAAAAAAATTGTATCCAGGTAGGTATTGAATCTTGAATTTGGGAGTCAGAATAATAACCACCAATCTTGTGAAAAAAGACCATGATGAGGTTCTGCCACCAGGTTACCAATAGCAACAAGTTTTCCAGGGTAAATTTTCCTTTTGACATTTTGAAAATTGAGAACGCGAGATTCAAAACGTATTTATTTTAATTATAAATCATAGCCCCGCAATGGTTGCACAAAATTTTTACCCATCACATGAAAATCAACAATTAATTGCGTAAGTGGAAATAAATTTGCGATTTAATGCTTTATAAGTTAGTTTGTGGAACGTAGCACATTAAGTTACTATACGGAAGTAATTTAACCGATCAACTTTGTCCAAAAAAAAAGCTTGGAAGTTTGAATTTTTTCTCACCCTTTCCTTTCTTTCCTTTCAAGATTATAATGGCTGATAATAAATTTTTACCGAAATTATCACAAAATTTACTTGAAATTTTAAATGATGAAGAATTTTATGATATTACAATTGAAGTTGGCAGTGACCCTTATATTAAAGTATTTCGTGCCCATATAGTTATTCTAAATTATCGTTCTCCTTATTTGCGTAGAATTTTATCAACTAATAAAAAGAAAAATGATGGAATTTTGACAAATATTAAATTACCAAATATTTCACCTGAATTTTTTCATGTATTATTAAGGTACAAGAGTTTTAAATTTTATTCTTTTTAAAATAAAATAAAAAATATATATATTTTTAATTACAAACAACTAATTCTTTTTCAGATATATTTATGGAGGAAAACTTTCTTTGGAAGAATATGATATTTCAGATATCATTAAAATCTTGGTTATTGCTAACGAACTTAACCTTCAAGAGTTAATTCCTTATATAGAATCTTTTTTAATTAAAAACAGAACAAACTGGTTGGAACAAAATTTTGAATTAATATATCAGACAAGTTTTGAAAACGATTCTTTCTTAGAACTTCAAAAATATTGTACTGATTTAATTTCTAAAGAACCAGACAAGAGATTTAATTCTCCAAATTTTTCTACAATTCCAGAAAGACTTCTAATCACGCTTATCCAAAATGATAATCTTAAAATGAAAGAAATTCAAGTATGGGAATATGTAATTAAATGGGGACTCGCTCAAAATCCAGGACTTCCTTCTGATCCCACAAATTTTTCAAAGGATGATTTCAATACTTTAAAAAACACCCTACAACAATGTATTCCTTTTATTAGATTTCATAATTTAAATTCAATAGAATTTTCAAAAAAGGTATTGCCTTATAAAAAAATTTTATCAAAGGAATTATATAAAGAATTATTAAATCATTTTTTGGAAAATGACATTAAGGAATCATTACCTCGTATATCTATGTCAAAACAAAAATCTACATTAGATATTACTAAGGTTACAAACAGTGATAAAGAGTCACAAGAAGTTGAAAAGAATTTGGAGGAAGCTTTTAAACGGTATAAAAAAGCAGCAGAGGATGGAAATGAAGTGGCAGTATATAATTTAGCTGGTTGTTATAAATATGGAAAAGGTGTAGAAAAAGATGAACTTTGCAGAAACCTTGAATTTTTGCGAGGTATCATTACGTCATTACTAAGATATATGCAAGATATATTTAGGGTAATGTGACGATCCTTTTTTATTAATGAATTGTTCCGATGTTAATCCAGTATTACAATGAGATTTGCACAGTATTTTGACCGCATCGGAACAATTCTTTTTATAATATTGTTAATTCATTGAAAATATACATAGAAAAGCGTATTATAGGTATTTTCACAGTATTTTAAAAACATTATAAATTACTTTGCTAACAACATAAAATTTTCGTAAAACCACAAATAACTCAAATATAACAATTAACAATTTAAATTACAATCTAATTAAAAATCTTTTCCATTTGTAATTAATAATATTATTTCAATATGTAAAAATATATATGCATGATTATCTAATGTTCCTCTTGTTATAATTGGATAGCCGCGGATTTTTAAGCGATCAACGTACTGAATTTCCGTTGACAAAGCGCCCCTGGTGACACAACTATAACAAAGTGGGAACCAATGACCCCTACGGCCTTACCCCTCTAACCCTAACCCTAATCCTATATTATTTTTTTTCTTTCTTTGTCAGTTACTTATCCCCATAAGCATTCATTTCTCCTTTACAGTCTTTCGTCTTTTTTCAATTTAAAAGAAAACAAAAGCTCTCCAAAATCTTGCATACTAGAGAAACTGGAAGAAGCCGTCTAAGAAAAAAAGAATGAAGTGTAAGTAATTGTTCATTAATATAAATAAATAAAGGAAAAAAATACTTATCAAAATATGAAAACCAGTACGTACAAGGAGACCCGAATAGTTAGCTGCTCAAAAAAGAAATAATCCAACTAAATTCATAATCTAAAGAGTAAAATGAAACATTAGTAAATATTTTGTGAACACTTAGTATTAAATTCCCATGCAACAAAATACCTGCAATCTATCTGAAAAAGAGAGAAATAAGAAATGTTAATAAAATAAGACAATAAATATTGTGAAATTCTACACATCCAAACTCAAAGACCTAAAAAACTAATTACCTAAAAAAGAAAGAACCAAATAGTTAGTAAGAATACTTCTGAAGTTCAAAAAAAATTGTAGATACATATGAAACTTCCGGACCTGAATCTTGCAAAAAGAAAATAGAGGAACGTCAATAAAAGGTTAAAAAAAAATCAACAAAATTTCTTGACGAATCTTGTCTTTTTCGATTCCTGATCCGTCCAAATCTAAAAAAAAAGAAAGTTTCAAAATTTCAAACTAAAAAAAAACTCAAAACTTTTCAAAAAAAGTTAAAAAAGTTTGACAGTTCGATTAAACTTAAAAAACAATTGATAAAGTTTGGCAGATTGAAAATAAAATAAAAATAAATAATTAATTAAATAGTTTGATCGAGACTTTTAAAAAAAAAGTTTCGATAGTTACTTTTAAAAAAAATGATTAAAAAAAAAAAAGATTAATTAATTAAAATTTAAAAAAAAGTTTTAAAAAAAAAAATTAAAAAAAG